TTAGATAGAATGAGTTTCCATCATTGTACCTTAAAAGTGTGTGTGTGTGTGTGTGTGTGTGTGTGTGTATTTATATGAAGAAATATATAATTTTCTGTTATTCTTCCAGATAAAAATCTATGTTTATCAATTACAAATGCCTTTTGGGGCTGGCCTGGTGGCGCAAGAGGTTAAGTGTGCATGCTCCACTGCGTGGCCTGGGGTTCACTGGTTCGGATCCCAGGCGCACACCGATGCACCGCTTGGCTAGCCATGCTGTGGCGGCGTCCCATATAAAGTGGAGGAAGATGGGCACAGATGTTAGCCCAGGGCCAGTCTTCCTCAGCAAAAAAAAAAAAGAAAGAAGAGGATTGACAGATGTTAGCACAGGGCTGATCTTCCTCACCAAAAAAAAAAAAAATGCCTTTTGACGATTATTGAAGTGAACTTATAAATGAATTAGGGAGAATTAACATTGTTACATTTAATCTTAGCATCCAGGAATATGATATTGTTCTTTCACGTATTCAAGCTTTTGTATCAAAGTTCTGTAGTTTTCTTCTCAAAAAAAAAATAAAAACTGTAGGACTTTAGCCAGGTAGGACCAAAATGGGACTGAGCCAAGAGGGGCACTTAACCAGCAGGTAGCAGAATTTGGGGCAACATAGGAGAAGAAGCAGAGGTCCTAGGAGTGAGTCAGCAATTAGATATCAAGTAGAGACGAGAGCGTGGAAAATCCAGTCCACTCTAACAGTTTTGAAGAATTGGGGGAAGTGAGAGCAGGAGAGTGGATGAACTACAAATTCAGAAACCAGAGCAGAAACATGGATGAGCGGTGTCAAAATAATAATAATAATAATGACTAAGAGACCAAAGATTGAACGCTGAGTGTTAAAGTTTAAAACTACCAAGATGGACCTGCAACGCAGCAAAGAGTCTAGGCTTTGAGGCATGAGATTGGAAAAGACATGGGGTAAGTCTTTTAAAGCCGAAAGACCATAAACTGTATTTGTCTCATATTAGAAATGCAGTCTCTGAGGGGCTGGTGGTAGCTGGGTTTGATAGTTAGGTAAGCACTGGGCTGGCTGGAGAAGGTTTGCTGTGTGCGAGGTGCCTCTGCTCTGTGTGTGCTGCTCCCACCTTGGTCCTGAGCTGCCCAGCTCACACCTGCTGCACACATGATGTACCCGAGTCAGGTCTGCACCATGGTCAGCAAGCTGGGTGGACAGGTCGGGATTCCTCAGCAGTGGGAAGAAAATTGCTCCAACCTTCGGAAGTCTCCTGGCTGGAGAGAGAAGAGAGAGAGGAGAAAGGAAGAGAAAGTGAGAAGGAGGGAGAGTGGAAAGGGAGACAATAGTTAACAAGAGAAGAGGGAGAGGAGAGGTGAGCAAAGAAGACAGGAGAGGGAGGAAAAAGAACTGCTTTAAATAAATCTGACCATCTCCTTTCTCCACTTAAAATCCTTAACAATTGGTAGATACCACTAGTCATTTTTGTCCTTTTCCCTTCGCGGCAAAGCTCTGATTTTTGTTCTCTTGTCCATCTCTGTCATCCATGACTCAGGTAAGCCCTAAGTGAATTCATTGAGTTGGTCCCATTCCCCTTGCTGGTGATTATTTTAGTGGTTGGCTTGTGTGACTCAGTTCCAGTCAATGAGATAAGTCAGAAGGTCAACTAGGGGACTTAGCAGGGCTTGCATTTCCTGCATATTCATAGCCCTGCCAGCCTTTCTGGCTTTCATCTCATACCATTCACCACCTCCATCTCGCTGTTCCAGCGAGTCGCTCTAAAGTGCCACAGTCTCTTGATCCTGGAATTTGTTCCTATTCTACTCTTTTCCCGTCCTCCCACAACACCTCCCTCTCTTTGCTTAAATGTCACTTCTTCAGGGGCGTCTTTCTTACCCCCAGGGCTAGATCAGATTGCCATGTATATTCGCATCAGCACCCTTTTCTTCACTTGTTAATTCATTGAAAAAATCTTAATGATTTACATTGTCAGTGGGTTTATTAAGTGTTGTTCACTGGAAAATCGGATTAAAACAGGCACGGCCCTCGCACTCATCACACATGTAGTTACTCAATGAAGTTCTGTCTTCCCTGTTCTGCTCAGCAGCCTCTATGAGAGCAGGGATTTGTCTGTGTTTTTTTTTTTTTTTTTTTTTTTGCTGGTTCCTCAGCTTCTGGAATGGCATCTAGCACATAGTAGGAGCCCAATAAAAATTTGTTTAATGAATGAATGTAGAAAGCAGGGAATTAAGGGTCCCTAGACAACTGAAGTATGTCTGACTTGGCCTGATGTGTAAAACATTTGCTAGAATAATCAGCTGTTCAGCTTGTCTGGGACTGAGGAATATCCCAGGATGTGGGACTTTCAGTGCTAAAATTGAGAAAGTCGTGGCAAACCAAGACAAGTTGGTCACCCTATTCATGGCCCTCCAACCCAAAGTAGTTCCTCTGGTTTTCACCCCCCTCCCACCCTTTTCTACCCATAATTAATCTTCTGGGCTGATCTTTCCATTCTACCTCTAATGAAAGGAAATGTTTCCAACTCTCCTATTGCTTCCTAAAATGCTAGATTCTCAAGCTTGGAAAGTTATGTATTTGTACCATCAGAACTTCAAATTCCAGACCTTCATTTCTGGGTAGAGTAAAAGCTGCGGAAGCCTGTTTTCAGTCATTTGTACTCATTTTTTTCAGCTTTCTTTAACTTCTCCATTTATTTACCCATTGTCTGCTCCCAAGCCTGTCCAAGCTGTACATAGAGGGTGCAGAACTCCTCATCCTTACAGAGGTCTCCCAAAATCAAATAACTCTAGAGATGCCAACCAGAAGGTGCAAAATAAGTCAATACATTCAGCAAAGCAGAAACGTTTGTGCTTCTTGGCCTCCTATTGCTGAGACACCTCCAAACAACTCTTCTGCTGCCTCTATCAGGCAATGTTTCTCTTCCACACTGAAATCCTAAGAAAGAGAAGGAAAAACAAAGCTTTATCTTATATACAGGCATGCATCTGACCCATCAGTGGTGTTTTGCTAGAGAGACTGAAATTTACTGTTCATATAAATGATGGAAAACTCTGAAAATGACCTAAAAGCTGATGGAGACCCAAACTGCAATCCATTTTTTGGTTGTTCTAAGGCGTAAGGTAATGGTTTAAAGCCCCTAGCTCTGTCCAGGATTTCGGTTTTCTGATTCCTTGCCAAATGTTCTCTCTATTCAACATCAACACAATTCAACATCTATGTGTCCGTGTGTCAGTTGTTTTCAAATTTAATTTCCTTATTTAAATATTTCCATTGAACATGTATTAAATAAGCGTCTAGAACAAACTTGCGCAAGGGGGCAGGTGTTCAGCTATTCATTGATGCTGACTGGCTGGACTTCTATTAAGGATTGCTGAATTTTTGGCACATTACAATAAAGAAGAAAACTCACTCTTTAACAGGTTTTAAAGGTAAATCCTTCTCTCAAGGCATTTCTTTGGGTTCTTGGAAGATTTATACTCCCTGCCCATCACTGGGGTCTCTCACCTGTGGTGTTTCTCTCATGGGCAATGGCAGGTCTCAGCTTTTGAAAGTCAAGTAGCGCACCCTCTTTTTGGGGGTCACTTTACCACTATCAGCTCTAGTAAGATCTAACGTGACTCCTGGGCTGTTACTGTCTCATAAGTGACCCGCGTCTGGTCATCGTGACACAGTCAACACATCCTCTGCTTTTATAAATTAATTCCTCTTTACTTCACTGCCTGAGCCCTTTTCCATTTACATTTCTCACAGTAGATTTCTGAAACGTAATTCAGATACGAGTTCATTATGTTCCCCAAGCCCCAAGAGTCACAAATCAAGCTCTTTAAGTGTCCTATTAAAGCCCCTTATTCTGTGTGAAAGAAGAGCCCAGTGTAGTGGTTTCTCTTGGTGCCCTGCGCACACCCCCTTCACTAAGTGGGTGCACCCATCTCCCAGTTGCCATGTTGGCTACTAACAACTCACAGCTTCTCCTTCTCCAGTGAATCCCCCTTCGTGGAACAAGAGCTGCCTCACCTGAGAGGTTATGCCTCTCACGCCCCAGGTCAGCCAGTGGCCAGTGACTGACATGGGGTCCAGAAGGCCAGATCCTTTCCTTCAAAGTGGGACAACTCCGTGGTGTACTTCATGCTCCAGAGCTCTCATAGGATCAGACTGAGGCTCATCTCCAGCTGAGACCACACCCTTGCTTAGCTCCTTCCCTTGCCCCATCCTGCTTCCCTTACCTCCCACCTCCTGAGACACCCTCAATAAGTCACTTGCACAAGAATTCTTGTCTGAGACTCTGTTTCTAGGGAATCCAACCTAAGACATAACCCACCACCCATGGAAGCAGGTCAAGTGAGAGAAACTCACAACACTCTTCAAAAACCTCTTCTCATTTACATCTGGCCACATCCACCTTTATATGCCCTTCAGTGTCCTATAAGTGGTAAGTGACGAGGGTACCCAAGTGGATTTTAACCACTTCATTTTTAAGTGCAGCATAGGTGGTCTTACTCTGGAATATGGGAGATGGCGTCTCTTTGCTTGGAGCCAGGAATGAAATAGCCTCCTTTGACTTCCTGATATTATATATATATAAACTTCCAAGCACATGACAGGAGCCTGCTAAATGGTAACTATTATTTTGGATCTTTAAATAACACATTGAGGACGGATTGCATGCCACGAGCTAGGCTCTGTGATAAGCACTATCTCATTCTGTCCTCATAGTGACTCTTCAGAGGGACAGTATTATCAATCTCATTTTATTGACCCTCATTCGTAAAACTGAATCTCAGAAAACATTCAACGCTTGGACCTAGTTCCAAACCCAGTGTTCTGCCTAATTTTTGATTAAACCTTTTTCTCACAGAGCCACAGTTTCCCACCCTGAACCTGCTCTCCTTTTTCCAATTTGGTGCTCCGCTGACCTCGGCGAGCAGTGATTCAAGCTCAAGTTCTAGCCTCTTTCTGGTTGACACTTTTGGTTTTGTCTTCCTTGGCATTCAGATCTGCGTGACTTCTGAAGAAGAACAAGACGGCTTTATCAGAGTCCTCAGTGGAAAGAAGAGAGGCCTCGTCCCCCTCGATGTCCTAGAAAACATCTGATTGCTGGCCGCTCCTCCCTTTGCAGTGGGCAAGCTCTGCTGCGGTGCCTCATCTCACACTGTGTCAACCCAGAGGAGCTGCCGCACTCACCCGGCCACCCAGGAAACAGTAGGACAAGACTCAAGGATCTGAGACTGTGGACGAACAGCCACAAGACAGAGGGCCCATCGCACAGCATATCCAGGCTGCCCGAGGTGGGGACGAAGCTGAGAGAGTCGGCTGCAGAGCGGAGTGCCGTACCTGGCAGCGGAAGCAGGGCAGTAACCACAGCTGTCCTCCACGACTCAACTCCCTCCCTGTACGCAGGGTGTAAGTTATCCCACTGGAGTGAGCTCCAGTTTGCAGTGTGGCCCCAGTGCGAGGCTCAGATCCGTGCAGCCAAATGTGATTCTGCTTCCAGACCTTTGTCCCCAGTACTGACCAATCAGTGTCATCATATCTGAGACCCTAAACAGTCTCACTGCAGAGCATCAGGAAGTCCTGCTTCCTAGCCCCCAACATTCCAGTGCACCCCTCAGGCCCCCTCACTTTGCGACTGTGCTCTCTTCTGTCCTCTGAGTAAGTCCTGGTAGTGTGCATTAGAGGTGAGGGCTAAGGTGACATGGCACCAACAGAAAGACCTGATCTGCCCCAAAGATGGCTGACAGGCAGTCCCTCCTGCTACTCTAGTTACCTACAGAGGTGACAGAGCGGGAAACAAGGCATTGATACAAAGGGCCAAGTGGGGTTAAGGTGGGACAAAGAGCCCTTATGTATCAAAGGTTATACAGCCCCTTCAGTCATGAAGTCCTTTCCCCAAGGAGATGGAGCTGGGGAAGAGAATGTGGCAAAAAGTCTCGAAGATGAGCTCTATTTTCATGTTACATCCTCGATACTGGGGGACAGCATTTTTCTCTCATGCCATCCTGTAGGACTCCCTTTTGGAAGTTGAACCCACCTCACAGGGAACCAGAAACATGGAGGAGAACAAAAAACTTTTCTTAGGAGAAAAGTAGCCAAATTGGAATCCATTCTTCTTAGGGCAGTATATTATACCCTAGCAGATATAAAAGGGAAAAGAATCCTTAATGCTTCATCCCTCTGAAACAGAAGAACTTAGGGCTTATTTAGCATCAACTAGGGGAATCTCTATTACTCTGTACTTATACTAATGTTTACAAGAATGCGATATACTGTGATGCCTTCCTCCTCAAGCCTCCTAGCATTCAAACTTGCTTCCTATTAGTCATTAATACAGGTAAACTCCAATTCACAATGACCTTGGAATCAGTGACAGTTTGGTTTATTTTGTTACAGAGCAATAAAATCAATAGAACAATTGGTTTTTAAAAGACTTAAGTGGATGCATCTGTGCATGTAAGCATATTGCCCAAACCAAAGCATCATTAGTCGTCATTTATTTCTTTTGTTACTGCTCAGCGTGAAGTTGGGAGCTGAGATGGGTTGGCTGCTGGTTTCACAGTAGTTTGGATGCCTTATTCTCATTTGAAAGCCAGCATCCAGAATTTCCTCCCTCTCTGATACAACATGCAAAACTGAATGTACAGAGTCAAGATGGATTCTTTGAGAGCCAGGGTGGAAAATATGACTGCTACTCTATAAAATGTAATGCCAGAGTACCAACCTCTTTGCCTCTAATTCAATATTCCATTTAATAAAGACAGCACAGTGGCTGAAAGAAGCATAGAAAACATGTCTGGATCTCTTCTTTCTGGTGGAATAGCCACTGAAGCTTTTGGGTACAGTGGTGTCACATCCTATGCAAATTTAATTTGCATTAAAAAATCAGTTTGCCTTTTGAAGTTGAACAGGAGCCAGCCTCCAATTTGGTCCTCCAATGAACCCTGCCTCCTAATGTTCTTGCCTTTGTGTAGCTCCCTCCCACATTGAGTCAGGGCTGGTCTCATGTGACCAATAGAATACAGCATCTGAGGCTAGGTCAGAAAAGTTCTTGCAACTTCTGCCTTGATCGCTTGGAACACTCACCCTTGGAACCCTGAGCCACCATGTAAGTTTATCTACGCTGAGGCCACCACGTGGGAGAGACCCAGTGGAGAGACCACACATTTCTGCAGCTGAGATCTCAGACGTCACAGAGCAGCAGTCATCCTGCTGAATCTTGCCCAAGTTATAGATTTATTAGAAGATAAGTATGTTTTTTCTTTTAAATCACTAAGTTTTGGAGTGATTTGTTATACAGAAATAGATAACTGGAATGGGGACTTTGTAATCTGAGCCAGTATTAGAAAAGAAAAAATACTCTTTCTGCACAACGAGGCCCCAAAGTTTTTGCGAACATCAAGTATTGGTGGGTGGTTCACCCTCCAAATGCAAGGGTATGGTGTTCCTTAAAGATCTGGAGTCATCTAGATAGCAGAGAAAAGCAAGAAATTCCTCAAAACACAGATTGCCACGGATGGCAATACACACACGCACACGCACACGCACACACACACCCCGATTTTAGGAGCCATAGCTTTGCTTCTCCTCCTGCCTGTCTGCAGAAAGGGCAAGAACAAGGATTGCTATTACCTACCAAAGGCTTGAAGGTTTCCAAGACTCAAGAAATGGCTTGAAGAAGTGCTTGCAGAATGGGAATGAGATGAAGACCTCAGGAGACAGACTTTAGTGAGGGGACAGAGAAGGAGGGGAAAGTGCTATATGAAGAAGAAAAAAGGGGTCTGGGGGGATATTCTTCATAGTGTGAGGAACAGTCTTGTACTCCCTCACCTCCTGCCCCTGCCTCTAGCTAAGGGACAGCACATATCTAGCTAAACCAGGGGATCCGTGCCCAATACTTCACCACCAATGCTGTAGGACTTGGATTCTATCATGGTGATTTTGAAATGAAGAACCCATTGAACCTTCCTCAGGGCTCCAGAAGGTGAAGAATAGAACTTCTTTCACCCCATCACTAGCAGACATTTGAATCACCTTTGATGTGAGCAGAGGGGCTGCAAAGAGAGCCTATGTGTAGAGGTCCAACTGGCTACCAGTAGGGTTGTTTTCACAGACCACTTTTCCTGCCCAACTCTACACCCCAAACACACACCCCCCACACAAACACACACACACACTCCCATCAAGAGGAAGAGTCCAGCATCTGGGTTACATATTGAAAGCAGCTAATGGGATGGCACGTGGTGGGAGCTTATCAGAGTTAGTATTCTTTGCTCTTAAAGGGGGAAAAATAAAATCAGTGGGAGGATCACAACACATGTGAATAGCCAGGTGCCAAGTACTGCAGAAAGTGTCATGGAAGTCCAAAAGCTGGTCCAGGCTGCCCCAAGGAGAAGAAAGCCAGGAAGGAAACCTACTGTCAGCCCCAGCCTAAAGCCAGCCCCAGGCAGCTGTGAAATAGTGCTGTGTGCTCAAATAGAAGCTTATTTAAATAAAGTGAGCCAAACTTCTTCACTCAGGACTTCTCAGAGGCTTTAATTTGCTAATTTTTAAGGTAAATCTATAAAGGGGGATTTAGAACTACGGAACACCTATTAGCATCAACTAGAACATTCCAAGTAACGTAGTTTTGAAAATGCTGCAGTAGAGAATTCTCGTATAATATTGGGTCCACCTAATAGCCCCAAAGCTCCCTAATAGCCCCCCTCTTCCTACATTTCACTAAAATGCCTATGAAGTATTGAAAAGGACAAACGTGCACAATCATAGTAAAAATGAAGCCTGAAAGACAATCTACTCTTGAATCTGTAGGGAGTAGGAGAAAGTGGAATCTCTGTCCCCAAAAATGGAAAACTCAGGAGCAAGAGTAGCTTTATCATGCTCTGATGGCAAATATTGACTAGCCGGGCATAGGCTGGTATAAATCTGGGAATAAAAGAAAGTTGCCCAAAATAGCATCCCCAAGAAACTGAGTGAGCAGGTGTGCTCCACAGATTTATCCCAAAACAAAAACGCTTACAAACAACTCGGACAAAAAATTAAAACTAGTTTAATGACATAATCTCTTTGATTTTGCTCAGTTGCCATTCTGTTGTGTGTTTTGTACAACACCTGGTGTTTTTGACCCATAGAACATGTTTTTCTTAGCTTCCAATAAGGAGTTTTAAATAGTCCTCAATCTTCCTGTGGGTAATAGAAACTTTTAACTGTACCTTGAAATTTTGACAAGATAATACCAATTTATTTCATAGTTCCTTTTTAAAAATGAAAAAGTGGCAGATTTTTTAATCATCTTATCATCAAGTTTAAACAGCTATTGAATATCTTCCACGTCTTGATGGAAGTCAGGATGTACTGAAGTCCTGAAAATACACCCTAGAAAAGTACAATACCTATTTCCAAGAAAAGTCGTGGATCATCTTTAGATTTCCTCCACTGGCCTCATTTACTCAGGTTCTCAGGTTACCCGCTTGATCCCATCTTTTTCTATGTATGGTAATATTTTTCTTTGTCTATCTTCTCTATTTAAACCAGCTTCTTGAAAATTATGTGCTTAGTACTTTCATTCTTTTTTAAGGTAAAAAAAATCATCCAAGATTATTACTTTTCCTGAGTTCAGCTTTGACTGTATTGAAGTGTTCCCATTTTCATTCATTTCTAAGTACTCTGTAATTACAGTTTTGATTTTTTTCTTAGATGTTTTATTTTGCTTGCTTGTGCGTGTATGTATGTGTGTAATTAAAACCATTGTGGTCAGAAAATATGGGTCATATGGCTTCTGCTTGAGAAATTAATTGACATTGTATTTTGTGCTCCAATACATGAGTAATTGTTATAAATGTTCAATGAATGCTGGCAAAAAAGAAAAGTCATGTCTGCAGTGTATCAAGTTCAATGTGTATCTACTAAATAAATGCTTAAAGTATTCAGGTCATCTGTGTTCTCATTTATTTTTGCTAATGTGGTCTCTCAAAGACAAGGAAATCAAGAGCAAGAAACGGTGGGACTGAAATGAGAGACACCTTGAAAGGACCTCCAATGGCTTCTTTAATGCCAGCCCTTGGAGGGAGGAAATGCCACTGCTCTCCACCACAGCTTGCCCCTCTACATTTAGGATGAGTCACTAAGGTCATTCCTAAGTAAACATTTTCTTTAACTCCATGGATAAAACTGTAAAGGAACCACTTTTAAGGGAAGAGTTTCCAAAAATATTCTTAGCAAACTTCAATATTGGGTCAGGGAGTTTTGACAGAGAGAAAAATTACGATGAAATCAGCAACCACTGTTGGGTGAGAACGACATCACAGCTCCAGTGTGTGCCCGCTATGAGACCGGTGAGGGCGAACACCACATAATGAACTGATAAAATGTATTCCTACCTGACAGTCTAAATC